ATGTATTTATATACATATATATGTATTTATATATATTCATATATATTTATATACATATATATGTATTTATATATATTCATATATATTTATATACATATATATGTATTTATATATATACATATATATTTATCTATATTTATTTATAGATATAAATATATATATGTATATAAATTACATATATATGTATTTTTATATATACATATATATTTATCTATATTTATTTATAGATATATATATATATATGTATATAAATTAAAACTCTGATGAACCAGATTCTACAAAAACATTACATTCAAATTTTTATAGGTTTTCATCATCATTTGATGTATTTGCACTCATTGTGTCTACTTTTAATGTTCATTTTAAATGTGTGGTTTCCTTTCTTGTTCACATATATACATTTTATTTTTAGCTTTGCTTTAAAGTTCTTGTTTTGTGATTTGTACATTCGTGAGTTAAAATAAAGTTGAACTGAAGGTCGTCTCTTTTCTTTAAACATGTTTGAGGGAAATATTCCTGAGATCCAATCGTTTTGTGTCTTTTTATGATTTTCAGCTGAGTTAACAGTCATTAAAGTGAAAACAGGATTTCACGATGAAGCTGGCACGTCTTTTTATTTTTTATTTTTAATCTTCAACGCTCTGCTGGTCTCGCACGACACTGCCCGCAGTCACACGATCCTCTCCTCCGGAGAGGAGGAAGCTGGGAGGCTCATCCTCCCAGCTCCAGCTCAGCTGGTCACTCACAGAGGCTGTTCCAAGACCCCAGCCGCGCGTAATCATGAAGGTCCGACCCGCGCAGACAGGCGGGCAGAGACGGGTCTGCGACGAACGGTGGAAGCGATTTTAAAAAACATTTTACGTGTAAAAAAAAAATAAAAATCATTTTTAAATCGCTTCAGCATTTTTTTAAAACATTTTTTGTATAAAAACAAAATGTTATTTAATTTAAAAATCGCTTCCAGCGTCCGTCCCAGACTGTCCAGTCCGCCTGAATGCCGGGCGGGATCGGGATTCAGCCTTCATGATTACGCGCGGCCGGGGTCTGGCAACGTCCATCTGCGAGTCCCCATCTCCAGCTTCGCAGTGACCTGCGGAGCTCTGAGCACACAAGGCTGGTATCCGGAACCCGAGCCTCCGAGTCGGCACATCGAAGGATCTTCCGCGGTGACCAGCTGAACTTGGAGCCGGGGAGATGACGCCCTGCCCGGCCTGGCGCTCGGAGGCTCCGGAGGGAGGATCGGGGTACACCAGCAGAGCTCCATCCAGCTTGCTCTGAATTATGTTGTCGGCCACCAAGCACAAAAAATGCCAGCACATCAACATTAGACCAAGATGTTGTCAGTATTGTTTTTAAAATCTTTAAAATAAATCCAGCCGCTGCTCCAGTCCGAGAAATTGCAAATGGCGGATTATTGTTTTGAAACGTTTCTGAAGGATCCAGTGACTCCGCCCCCGACTCCGCCCCCGACCAACCAGTGACCGACAGTGTACTGACGTCACGTTTTTGTACCTCTTCGTACCGGTTAGAACCACAGAGCCAAGGGTACTGAAAATAGTAACAGGTGCTAAGTACCGGTACTAATGGAAAAGCCTCAGAACCGGGCCAAGTAGGGTCGAGTCGGCCCGTACCGGTACTAATGGAAAAGGGGCAATAGTGGTCCCGCTGGGTTTATTACACATGAGACGCCTCCAGAGGTGGTTTGTGCGTCTGCGTGTGGACCCAGTAAAACAAACAAGACAGATGATCACTGTTCCTCCCTCCGTGAGGGCAGATCTCCGACACTGGGGAAACACCCTGGTTCTGTCGGAGGGAGTCCCCGTCAGCAGACCCACGTCACACGTGTCAGTCTTCACGGACGCGTCGCTGTCAGGCTAGGGGGGGACATGCCTATCTCAAGCAGTAGGGGCGCTGTGGCCCCATCACACATCAGCCCACATAAATGTTTTGGAGTGTCGCACGGTGCTGAACGTGATTCAACACTTTGCTCCCGTGCTACAGAATCAACGTGTTGATTCACACAGACAACAAGGTGACTGCTGCGTACATAAACCGGCAGGGGGGTGTGCGCTCAGCCCAGATGTTACACATTGCGCGAAAGCTACTGTGTTGGGCTCACCAAAATCTGCTCTCCATCAGAGCAGTTTACATACCCGGTGTTCTGAACAAAGGGGCAGATGTGATGTCCAGGGGCAGCCCACGTCACGCGGATTGGACTCTCCATCCAGACCTGATGACCCAGACATGGCAGAAATTTGGCAAGCAGCTGTGGACCTGTTTGTGACACGAGAGAACGCTCAGTGTCAACTATGGTTTTCCCTGAGCCCGCGAGACAAACCACCGCTGGGGGTGGATGCGTTTGCCCACAGCCCATGGCCCAAAACGCTTCTGTACGCGTTTCCTCCACCTCCTCTGATTTTACGGTTCCTGAACCGAGTTCAGGAGGAGGGATTGACAGCTCTCCTGGTGGCCCCTGAGCGCGTGAACGCACCATGGTTCCCAGTCCTGCAACATCTACTGTCGGGGCACCCGTGGAAACTGCCGTGGAGGGAAGATGCTCTCCTCCAGGCAGGAGGAGCGATCAGGAGTTACCCAGAAATAGGCCAGCACCTGTGGGTCTGGCCGCTGAGCGGTTCCGCTTAGAGAGGATGGGTCTCCCGCAGGATGTAGTGCGCACAATCCAGGATTCACGTGTTGCATCTACCACAGCGCTATACACATCAAAGTGGACAGTTTTTCAGCGCTGGTGTACAGAGAAAGGTGTAGAGGCCACCTCATGTCCATTAGGCGGCGTGCTGTCTTTTCTACAACAGCTGATGGACAGGAAGTTGGCATTCAGCACGATTAAAACGTACGCTGCAGCCATCTCTTCCTGCCACGAAGGGTTCGGAGACAGAACAGCTTTTAATCATCCGCTGATGAAGCGATTTCTAAAAGGTGTACAGAGATGCAGGCCTGTTTCACGCCCACTTGTTCCACAGTGGGATTTAACGCTGGTCCTGCGAGCCCTGATCAAAGTTCCATTTGAGCCTATGGATCAGGTTCCAATTAAATTCTTGTCTCTTAAAACAGCCCTGCTGTTGGCTTTAACATCCGCTAAGAGGGTGAGTGATTTATCTGCCCTCTCTGTCGCTCCGTCATGTCTTAGAATTCAGGCTGACGGGCAGCTCAGCTGATTTAAGACCAAACCCAGCTTTTATGCCTAAAAACATCACAAGCTCTTTTAAATCAAGAGCGATATCGTTGGAGGGTTCCCCCCCCACAGATCAGAAGAAGAAGCATCTTTCCATCTTCTCTGTCCGGTGCGGGCGTTGACGCGTTACATAGCGTGCACAGCTGTAATGCGCCAAACTCAACATTTGTTTGTTCATTATAGAGATGCATCTGCAGGTCGCCCGTTATCCACCCAGCACTTGTCACACTGGCTGTGTGAGGCCATTTCTGAAGCCTACAGAGCATCAGATTTAGAGCCTCCTGTCAACCTCAGGGCACACTCAACCAGGGGTATCGCATCTTCGACTGCCTTTCATAATGATATGACAATGCAGGACATTTGCACTGCGGCCGCGTGTTCAACACCCTGCTCATTCATTCGCTTTTATCTACGTGATGTGACGGCCCGTTCCATGACACATTCTGTCCTTAGTGCTCTAACAGAATGAATATTGTTGTTTTCATGGAACTCTGTTTAAGCTCACATCTGTCTGCATGCTTTACAGTGTGAGATGTATCAGTCACAAGTTGTGTCTGTTATTTTGGTTCTATTGTCACTAATCAGTTCATGACTATTGTTACCAATCAGTTCATTTGATTAATAATCAGTTCATTTGTTATTATTAATCTGTCTATACTGTTCAGCCATGAATGCATAGTTACACAACATGCGTCTGTGCATGGCTCACATAATTACGCAATGCGTAATTACGCACATGGGGAGCTGAGTGACAAGACGTTTTTTGGGCAAGCTTCTGCTTCATACGGTGTTCGAATGGACCCAGTGAGGCGAGGACCACATCTGCTTCGCCCTTAACCCACCAAGCGAAAGCCTTAAAGGGCGAAGCTTATATGAAATAGAACGTTGGTTACGTACTGTAACCCCAGATTCTATGAGTATAAGCGTAGCCCTTTAAGCGTCGGGCCTCACTGGCTCCTAAATGGCTGAAGAAAAAGCTATTTTGGGAGCCGATTTCCCGCTCTTAACGTAATTTATACGGACCGGGTAGGGCCCACACAGCAGGTGGGCGTGGACTAAATTTTTTCAGTGCAATGCTACGCATAACAGGATAAACCCACCAAGCGACAGCCTTAAAGGGCTACGCTTATACTCATAGAATCTGGGGTTACAGTACGTAACCAACGTTTCTCAGCGACCGCCCAGAAACCTGGCTGATCTAGAAAAGATCTGTGTGGAGGAATGGGCCAAAATCTCTGCTGCAGTGTGAGCAACCTGGTGAAAAACTACAGGAAACATTTGACCTCTGTAACTGCAAACAAAGGCTACTGTACCAAATATTAACATTGATTTTCACAGGTGTTTAAATACTTATTTGCAGCGGTAACACACAAATAAATTATTTAAAAATCATACATTGTGATTTCCGGATTTTTTTTTTAGATCGTTTCTCACAGTGGACATGCACCTAAGAAAATTACAAACCCCTCCATGATTTCTAAGTGGGAGAACTTGCAAAATCGCAGGGTGTTGAAATACTTATTTTCCTCACTGTAACTCGCACGTTTCAGGTGCTTACAGTTTTAAGTCGTTTGAGGAATATTTTCTGATCTTTCTTTGCTCCACTCAGAGAGGATCCACCAGGCTCAAGCTGCTGCTGCAAAGGCCAGAAAAGCTCTGCAGCAAAAACCTAAACCAGCATCTAAACCTGTGAGTCCACCACTAGAACAACATGTCTAATTTGGTGTTTTGCCTTTTAGTAACTAGTTTTGTGGGGGGAAAAAAAGCCATTTTATTTTGCATTTATATTTTAGAAATCTGGGAGTAAGGACGGAAGCAGCAAAGCCCCTGGATCTGTAGAGGCAACGCAGGACGTAATCTGTAATCCCATGTCTCCAGTCCCTACAACACCCACCCTTAACACTCCTGGAACCCCCAAGTCACCCCTACCTTGCTCAGCCACCACACCAACAAAAACTGGGGTCCCAGATACTATCAAAACCAGACCGGGGTCGGTTTTTCATTCTTCAGCGCAGTTTGAATGAGAAGGTTTACTTGTCTGCTAATTCGTCCTCTTTCCTCTTACAGTGTTCTTCTCGTGTCTCCTCCCTCGCTGCCTCAGCTGGGAACCATTTTACCCACGAGTCAGGCTTGTCCGCCGGTTTCGCAGCCTGTTACGTCCCAGCAAGCTGCTCGGATAGTGAGTCACCTTGCGGCGGGCTCCCTCCCTCAGGTGAGGGTCGTTTCTGCCCAGCCTGGGCTCAGTTCATCAGCCGCAGGCCAACAGGCCTCACTGGTGCATCAGACCCCTCACCAGATCCGGATGCCTGTATCCGTAGCAGCCAAGGGCATTTCTCAGGTACAACACAAGAGCGAAATAATTCATCTGTGTTTGCTTCGCTTCGTGCAAATAACTGATGCTGTTTGTGCAACAGGCAGTGGTTTCTGTCCCTTTAAGGAGTCCATCTGGCAGCAGTCCAGTCCAGGTTCCAAACACCCTCTCTGTCTCAGCTCTAACTGTAACCAAACCACATACTAGATCTCCTGGAAGCCCAGCTAACAACCCCACGTCTCCAGCTGTGCTGCAGGGGGTCACCAGCTCCAACATCAAACAGGTGACACCTAAAGGAGTTACAGAACAGATTTAAGATGCGTTGAAAAGCCGTGGACTCAAGCGTCATGTCCCCTCTCTCACTCGTCCCTCAATGTGTTGCTTCCATGTTTCTACAGGTGTCCATAACTGGACAGCTGGGAATGAAGCCTCCAGGTGGAGCAGGAATTCCAATATCTGCAACAAACTTGCGCATCCAGGGTAAAGATGTCCTCCGTCTTCCACCGTCCTCCATCACCACAGACGCCAAGGGCCAAACGGTGCTGCGGATAACCCCGGACATGATGGCCACTCTTGCCAAATCTCCAGTTGCGACTGTTAAACTCACTTCGGACTTTCTGGGCACCGCTGCCTCAGGCAGCAAAAGCATTTCAGCCACCCTGCATGTGACGCCTCCGCAGCCTTCACCGTCCTCTGCCTCCAGTGCTTCACCCTGCGCAGGGGAGGCCCAGACGACGAAAGCGGGCCCCATTGCCTCCACCGTGTTGAAGGCCGGTGGCGACGCAGCCATACGTTTGATGCCCACTCTGGCCGTCACCATGGCTGACCAAAAGGCCAGGACCTTCTCCACCGTGGCGTCCCCCGACAAGAGCAGCGCCACTATCCGGATCATGCCAGGCCTCGGGGTTATTCCTCAGAAACCGGGACAGACCATCACCATGACAACCACCACAGGCAGTAAGCCCCTCACGGCCTCCTCGTGTGCCAACATTGTGACCATGGCTGCAAGTGTGACAGGTGCTAAAGGGATCACCGTGACTCCTGGGTCCTCCGCTGCACCTCTGTCTCTGGGAACGGCCACAGCCACCGTGAGACAAGTCCCTGCTACGGTCGTTACCACACAAACGGTAAGACACACTGTTTTCATTTCGGCTGGTCCGTGCTATTAGTCTTCAAGATGTAACAGTTTCAAATTCACCTTTTAAATTAAATATGTGTAGATTAAAATACCCTTTTAAAGGTAGCGTTGCAAGAATTAGTCATTTTGTGTGATCGCTTGAAACAGGTGAAAGGTGTGCAAACACTGCCAGTAAACTGGTAAATCATGTAATCACTTACCATGAGATATATATACATGGCTATTGTATCCTATATTCTGTTTGTTCCTTGGTTTTAATCGATATATCATATTAACCCCAGAAGGAAATTCATATTTTATCTTTATTCTGACTTGAAATTTAAAATGTTTGTTCTGGTTTGATTCAACCAAGTCCTCTCCCCTCCTTGTTTTTTAACGCTTGTCAAAAGGCAGACATGTTCTGATGTAGTCTTTGTTAAGAGTTGCATTCGGGCCATAATTTCCGAACCCCACCCGACCTAACGAATTAACAGTAATTACAGGTCCAAACCCGGAAAAAAACAAAATTTTAATTAAGCTTTGACTGCTTATATAGTTTTAAGAGTCGGCGGACGCGCATGGCTGAATAAAAGGGGCAGAAGATCAGAGCGTGTGTGTTTGTCCTTTCATGGCCGTCGAATTGCATTAAATCCCTACCTGCATTCTGCATTATTCAGACACGAACCCTGCTTTGACATGTCTGCTTTGGGATCTCACCTGTTTGGGTCGTTAACCGCGCACATCCGCTGAGTGCAGCGGCTGAATGAACGTCCATTTGGGCGATGACTCACTGCCTGACGATCCCATCTGAAGCTTAACTGAACTTTATTTTACCTCTTTCAAGGCCGGTCAACTCGCGGTGAAATGGCCGTGTGCGGCTGGTGATAGTATGTCAAGCCATGTTTCCATATAATTGTATTGTATGGCAAGCCATGTTGCCATATAATTGGATTGCGGCTGATTCGCTGACGCAATCAAAAGCCCGACACCGACCCGGACCGCCCATCCAGCACATTATTATAGCTAGGCTCAGCCCAAATTTGGGTCAGCCGGGCTTCGGGCCCGGGTTAGAAATGACAGCTCTAGTCTCCGTACGTCTGTAAGTTTTCTCTTATCACGCCCATAACTTGTGATCCACTCAAGATAATTTAACAAAACTCCACACACTTATTCATCATCACTAGACAGCGTGTCGCATAATCTTTTCGTCACATTCGCTTCAGCATCACAAATCAAGGTCAAAGGCTATACAAGGTCTTAGCTTGTCATTGCTTTAGATTGCTCTATGATAGCTTGACAGGTGTATAATGTGCTGTATATGATACTCTTGTTGATTTAATTCAGAATTTTTATAAATACTGTAAAATTGTTTTTAAGTGGTTGTTTAAGTTTTATGTTATTATGGATGCACTAATTAACTGGCTAGTGACCAGAATTGGCTGATTAAGACCAACTACAAGACGTAATAATTTTGGGCATAATGTGGAAAACGGATCGTTAGGTAATGACTTAGGGGAGATAATTGAACAAACGATAAGTAATTATTTCTCATTGGCAAATTATTTTAACACCATTAAATTTATCAGTAACAGCTGATTTGACAGTACAGTTTTATTTTAAGTCAGTGAACACATCATTGTTAAACAGAAATCTGATTAATATTTGTAGACTTCCAATGTTAAGACAAGGAAAACTCTGAAACATGTTGCTTTTGCCAAAAATATTAACTTTTAATTTTTTTTAATTTTTTTATTTTTTTTTTATAGAGCCCGATGGCAATCACCAATACAGATATTGGGAGGGGAAGGATAATGCCAATAACCAATGGCTGAATAATTTTTTTTTGCTTTGGCCACCCCCAAAAATCTTAAACAGCGAGTGGAGCAGGGCTTGTTTATTTAGTGCATCTGTTGGCGACCATGAAGCTAATTTAATCATATCCACACTATACCTAGTCCCAGAGTTGGTTGAAAGTGGTCCACTGGCTATAAAAACAGTCGTCCTAAAGTGTGTTCACATATTCTGTCCTCCACTATTCACCATAAAGTTAAAGTGTTACAAAAATATAAAATAAAGAAATGCCCTTCTCTGTTCAGCGTTTACACAGTCATGTATGGTGAAGGCCTAATTAGTATTGACCGCAGCAGAGTTTATTTTCTTTGCAGAGAAGTAAAGATTTCAGACAAACGATGCATTTCATTGAGAACGTTACCAACACCGATATATATTTACCGCTACCTTAGCTTTATTGTTCTGGATAAAGTTTTACAATGCTCAACGTTAGCTTGCTAACTTGAGAGGTATGTAGCTAATGACAAGCACGTTGGAGGATTGAAGAGAATTTATTTTACAAATCAGTTACAATAAACTTACCATGTTTCGTAAAATACGCTGCACAGTATTTAGTTGTTCTGCTTCTTGGGTCTCCTCTCCCTGTGAGTCAAGTGCAGTGTTGCCAGATCTTGCGATAGAAGCAAGCAACCAGCCCAACTGGCAACCCACCACATTGTGTAAAACAGAGGCCATTTTTAAACAGTATAAACATGCATTTATTATGGCATTACACATAAACAGCAAAATTATGCTAAACACTTTGAATAACATACTTTTAAGCTTGGATTTAAAAAAATACATTTTGCATATGTAATTTTTTCGACATTAAAAACAAAACATCCGGACATGCGTGTGAGTGGAGCTCCCTAGTCGTCAGCCACAGTATGAGTGTTTGGGGTGTGCGCACACAGACGTATTTGTATGTGTGCACCTGTCGCCTCACCAACTTGGGCAGGGCAGGAGCAATAAACAGGAAACGGAGGCGTGGAAGGGACAAACTACCTACTACCACTCATCTTTTGCTTTATTGTGCGGAGCTGGGAGATAATCAACTAGTTTCACTCGGAAAGAAAGTCAAGCCCAAATAAGCAACTTCACGATCAAAACAAGCCCAAAAAACCGCAACCCACAACTCACAAGATTTGCAAGTGACTTTAGAAAAAAACAAGCCCAAAGTCTCTTAATAAGCAGACTTGGCAACTATGGTCAAGTGTGCAGAATGGCCATGACTTGAAAGTAGTCCACAAGCGCCCTCTGCTGGGTGCACTGTACAATTACATCTTTTGTAAGTAAGGACATGGCTAATTCCCAGTGTTTATCTAAAAAAGTTAAATCTGGTCCTCTGGACATTCAAAAAAAACAAAACAAAGCAAAACAACAAAAAACGTAGAAACGTTTCGTCTCTCATCCGAGTGTAGTGAGATAGGTCGGTTAGCTTCGCTTAGCTTCGGACCTCCACCACACGTTATAATATCTGGACTAGTTCAAGTACCTGATATTATACTTAATTTAAACAGGTTCTCTCTTTTTCGAGCTACTTGACAGATATGTGACAGAGATACTGTGTAGGAGATGGTTTAATCAGTGACGTGAGACGTTAATTTTCTTTGACCCATCAAAATGAATGCGGTCATTTATTAACAGAATCAAAGTTTAACATCAAACATTGTACACGTGATTATTCTGATTGAAGCAATAACACATTTTAATTAATGAGCTTTACAACAGACATTTCTGAAAATATCTGGATTAATTACTGGCAGATAGAAGAGTTTTAAAGATGGGAAATGAGGTTTAAATGGAGAGAGATGGTGTGTGAGGGAAAATGTGTCGACGAAGAACGGCACCCTCCATTCGAACCCAGCTTAACCCATGGTACACTTCGCAGTTGAAGATCGACTTTTTACCTTTCTGAAGATATGTCAGTTCCGGCGTAAAGTTCCACTTCAAGCCACCTTTCAGCGTCTCCGTAAGGATAGCAGAGAACCGTCCGGAGTAGTGACGGTACTTCGTTCAACAGCAGCTCACCTCCCAGGTGGGCTCGCATGAGCTGTGAGCCCGTCAGAGGTTCCACTCAGATGTGGAAGATTCCATAATCCCCACGAGACTCAGAAGAACTTCGGATCATGTCTGGAACTTCTTGTTCTCTCCAGCAACTTTTCTGTTCGGTTCTGCTCTCCGAACTGAACTGCCCTCTGAGAACTAGGAAGTGTCGACATTTAAAGAGTTCTGTTTCCGGTTCATTTGGGAAGTCCTGATTGGCTGAAAGAGCCAATCAGGGGTGTGGTTTTAGTGACGTAAGAGGTCACTAGAAGTCAGAAAAACAATGAGATGTTTTGGAACAGACAGAAAAATGTTTTTGAAACAGACAGAGAAATGTTTAGGCGAGATGGGAGGAAACAGGTGCCAGCTTCTCTATTTACATCTGAGAGGATTTAAAAACATGACAGTTCGTTCCAACAAACTTATTTGCGTTTGTCTCCGACTTTTGACCGACTTACAACTTGCTCATTTCAGACAGAAGATCAAGAAAATGAATAATTACTCTGTAACAGACATTAACTAGATTTCTACTTTGAATGAGGATTAAAAATCATTAATACTGTTTCACAGTTGATTTAAAATGAGTAGTTCACTTCAACATTTAAAATGGTTTGAACTAAACACACTTTTGATTATCAAGACATTTGTAAAATAGTAATGATAATAAAAAAGAGAGTGTTCTTTCAATTGATCAGTGCAGGACACAATTAGAAAGTCTCTGGATGAACTTAATTTTGTGTTTCTGGACTCAAATCAATGAAATAACAGTTCTTCAATGAAATAACAGTTCTTGTCCCAGGAAGGCCCTCAGGGCCAGATTTTGACCTGAGGCTTAGTTCACTACACGAGAGACTTCCTCAGTCTGAGGTGCTGTATTCAGCTCAGTCTCTTAAATAGCACCTTCTCAGAGTGGATCGACCAGTTTTGCTGCTGACAACCAAAACCAGCTGATCACATGCTCAAGAAGGACCATCAGCCTAACAATGGATCATTAGCACACTGATGGCTGTTTACTATTCACAGAGGGTTGAGTGATACTAGCAATCACAGCATTGTAAGAGGGGGACAATTGAACACGTAGGCCTCCATCCCTGTTTAACGATGGACGGTTTCTTTTCACAAAGATGGCCTCCTTTACTCCTCTCTCAAACCATCGTTCCTCTCTATCCAGGATGTGCACATCTTCATCCCTGAAAGAGTGACCGCTGGCCTGGAGATGAGTGTAGACCACAGAGTCCTGGCCTGATGATGTTGATCTTCTGTGCTGGGCCATCCTTTTGGCCAGTGGCTGTTTTGTTTCCCTGATGTAAGACTGATCACAGCCTTCCTGACACTGAACAGCATACACAACATTGCTCTGTTTGTGCCGGGGGACTGGATCTTTGGGATGAACCAGTCTTTGCCGTAATGTATTTTGGGATTTAAAAGCCACTGGGACGTTATGTTTAGAAAATAAACATCTCAGTTTCTCTGATACTCCCTCAACATACAGAATGACCACTGGTCTGGGTCTGGGTTCCTCCTTTTCACATGTTGGCTGACTGGAGTCCTGTTTGGGTTTCTTCTCTGCTTTTAGGAAGGCCCAGTTAGGATATCCACATTGCTCTAGAGCCTGTCTTGTGTGGGATTTCTCCTTCTGCCTGGCTCCTGAGCTAGTGGGGACGCTGTCTGCTCTGTGATACAGAGTCCTGATGACTCCTAACTTGTGCTCCAAAGGGTGATGGGAGTCAAACTGCAAATACTGGTCTATGTGGGTGGGTTTGCGGTACACTTCAGTTTGCAAATGTCCTCTATAAGAGACTGAGACCTCTCAGTCCAAGAAAGCCAACTTGCCATTTTTTTCATCTTCTCGTGTGAACTTGATGTATTTATCCACAGAGTTGATGTGGTCAGTAAAATGTTGGACTTCCTGAGATTTAATTTTAACCCAGGTGTCGTCAACATACCTGAACCAATGACTTGGTGGTGTCCCTGAAAAGGATGTCAAGGCTCTCTTTTCTACCTCCTCCATGTACAGGTTGGCAACAATAGGAGAAACTGGAGACCCCATAGCACACCCATGTTTCTGCCTATAATATTCCTCCCCATATGTGAAGTAGGTTGACTGCAGGCACAGTTTCAAGAGTTGACAGTTGTTCTGTGGAAAGCGTGGTCCTGCTGCTCAGAGTGGTGTCTGATTTTAATCAGGAATGAGGAAGTCTCTCGGATGAGAGACGAAACGTTTCTACATTTTTTGTTGTTTTGCTTTGTTTTGTTTTTTTGAATGTCCAGAGGACCAGATTTAACTTTTTTAGATTTTTCTACCTGGATTATTGAGCATGCATCAGGATATCCCAGTGTTTATATTGGCGCATAATGGGCCAAGTACAGCATCACAGAAACCGATTTGTCCCCAAACGCTTGTATCAGTCTAAAGTATCAGTCCTACCAATATATCGGTCGGGCTCCAGTTTTTCAGCTTAACCTATAATGAACACATGCATTTTAAATTAAAGTAAAAGTTAGCAAAAAAAAATTGTAAATTCTTGGTGATAGTTAATACTTGAAACCTGCAGGTTGGAGCATTATAATAAGACGTAAAAACAAATCCATCAGTTCATCTTTAGTTAAATTTAACTGCCAGACGGCTTCAGTCACTGAACTGAACTGAAACCATGTGATTTAAATTCTGCAGAATTGCTTTAAAGATGGCAGGGGAAAAAAAAAAAGTTAATTTATTGATCTGTATCATTTTTTCCAAGAGAAAATGTGAAATATTTCAGATTTTTACCGACTTTCTACACATAGGTTTACTCAAAATCAGCTGTTATTTATTCATGTTTTTGTTTGGATTGACTGCATTCTACGTGTTAAATACAGACTTTAAGACACGCCACTGTCTGCCTGCACTCTAGGGAAAGTTACCTGCTCGGATCACGGTGCCCCTCTCCGTCCTCAACCAGCCACTGAAGAACAAGAGCGTTGTGACGACACCGATTAAAGGAAGTCTTAACACAAAGTAAGTCTCTGTTGATATTAAATAACCCTAAATTAAGTTTAACTCCCGTGTTTGTTGATAAAATAGAGGATTTGTTTTCTCAGTCTTAGCAGTCTGGGCAGGAACATCATCTTGACCACCATGCCTGCTGGCACGAAGCTGATTGCGGGGAACAAACCGGTCAGTTTTGTCACGGCCCAACAGTTCCAGCAGCTTCAGCAGCAGGGACAAGCCACACAGGTCAGTGCACTTCACATTTTGGAACTGGGCCAACAATAAGGTGTCGTCTGCACAGCCAGCTTGCAATACCTGCTCTGTCAAGTTTTCTTGTTGGAGAGGATGTTGTGATCCTGCTTAGAAATACATAAGTACCTAAAGAGTTCTATTTTGACTTTTTTTTTTTTTTTTTTTTTTTTTAAGGTTCGGATCCAAACGGTTCAGACGCAGCAGCTCCAGCAGCACGTGGCGACAGGCTCCCCAAAGTCTGTTTCAGCGGTGGTCGTCACAACGGCTCCCTCCCAAAAAAATGCCCCTGATCCTCCACCTGCGCATCAGCAGTGAGCTTGTCTGTATCGTCGCTCCAATCTGGCTTTGCTCAGAACTCCCCGTTTTTGTTGCAACCTTAAATATGTTTGCAGTTTCATGCAGAATTAAAAAAAATCCAAGGAAAAGATGACTAAAATGGTCATTTCCTTCAGAATCTCAAGTGTTTACTGGTTGTTTCGTTAATATTTAAATGTCAGAATTGGTCATTTTTATTAAACCATTAATACAACCTTCAGTGCGATTGTTAGCTGGATGTGCGTTTCTTGTTTATAAAATGAATAAATGTAAATTTAGTGGAATATTGTCTGATTTAATATATTTTACAAGCTGTAATAAAAAACATGCTTCATGTCATATTCCTCTTTGGCTTTAAAAAAAATAAAATGATTCTAAACTTCATTTATTTTATTCTGTAAATCTAAAGCACATTGAGCTGAAATGGAAATCACATTTTTTCTATTAACAAATTTCAGTAAAAATAACCAAACGGTTATTGTCGTCACTCCTCATCGGACTGTTCCAGTAAACCTTTCTGAATGCTTGATTTGGACGACGCGTCTCTCATTCCAATCTCGATGTCTCTACCTTTCTTGGAGCATCTCGTCATGGTTCTGTTGGAACGAGACAAACGGCCTTTAGGAACATGCAAATCGTAATATATTGTACAATTAAATGTTCTTCATTAATGACAAATACACTTAGCATCAAGGTTTTGAGGATTTGTTCTTTAAATTGTTATTTTAGTACTACAGTAGTCCCTCGTTTATCGCAGAGGTTCCGTACCCTGCCGTCCCCCCATGATAAGTGAAAAACGGCGTAGTCCAAGTTCAGTAAACTTTGTCATGACGTGACAGGCTGCAATCACACATCACCTGATACTCCCAATCTTCCGCCTTAAATAAACAATTTAAATTTAAATACTGTAATATTTTAAATAAATAATCCTTGTTTATTTAAAATATTACAGTATTTAAATTGTAGAGAAGAGAAGTGCAGCAGGATATCGAAGTGTTAACCCTTCACGCACAGAACAGAAATGTACTTCTGGATCAATTACACTTCAACAACTGAACATAGAAGTTCTGAAATAATTAAAAATAACTTTAAATTTGTGATTTTGACAATTTTACAATGTGACATACTTTGAATTGTAAGTTGGAAGACAAGTCGATCGGTGCATCTGGACAGCAAAGAGTTAACCTTCACAAAGCTGCAGCAGGAGAAATGTGTGTGTGGCAGAGCTGCAGGAGGGAGCTTCCCCCTGCACTTGTGGGCTTCACACATGGTGCAAAATTATTTAAATTGTATTTTAAATAAACAACCCATGGCTCATCAATCAGCCAAATGTGTCATGTCCAATCTTATTTTGCGAATCTGTGAAAAACGAACCATGAAGTAGCGAGGGACTACTGTAATCTGAAAGAAACAAAGCTCTTGATCTATAAGGTTTAGACATTTGTGTGTAGTAAATATCTTACCTGTTGTAGATAGCTTTTGGTACAACCTCAGTTAATTTATGACTGGACTGACAAACTGCTAGTTCTTTCTGTGCATACAACAATTCAAATATTGAATCCAAAAAAGTTCAGTCTGGTCCTCTGGACATTAAAAAAAAAAAAGCAAAAAAAAAATATATAGAAACGTTTCGTCTCTCATCCAAGAGACTTCCTCAGTCTGAGGTGCTGTTTTCAGCTCAGTCTCTTAAATAGCACCTTCTCAGAGTGGATCAACCAGTTTGCTGCTGACAACCAAAACCAGCTGATCACATGCTCAAGAAGGACCATCAGCCTAACAATGGATCATTAGCACACTGATGGCTGTTTACTATTCACAGAGGGCTGAGTGATACTAGCAATCACAGCATTGTAAGAGGGGGACAATTGAACACGTAGGCCTCCACCCCTGTTTAACGATGGATGATTTCTTTTCACAAAGATGGCCTCCTTTACTCCTCTCTCAAACCATCGTTCCTCTCTGTCCAGGATGTGAACATCTTCATCCCTGAAAGAGTGACCGCTGGCCTGGAGATGAGTGTAGACCGCAGAGTCCTGGCCTGATGATGTTGATCTTCTGTGCTGGACCATCCTTTTGGCCAGTGGCTGTTTAGTTTCCCCGATGTAAGACTGATCACAGCCCTCCTGACACTGAACAGCATACACAACATTGCTCTGTTTGTGCCAGGGGACTGGATCTTTGGGATGAACCAGTCTTTGCCGTAATGTATTTTGGGATTTAAAAGCCACTGGGACGTTATGTTTAGAAAATAAACGTCTCAGTTTCTCTGATACCCCCTCAACATACGGAATGACCACTGGTCTGGGTCTGGGTTCCTCCTTTTCACCTGATGGCTGACTGGAGTCCTGTTTGGGTTTCTTCTCTGCTTTCAGGAAGGCCCAGTTAGGATATCCACATTGCTCTAGAGCCTGTTTTGTGTGGGATTTCTCCTTCTGCCTGGCTCCTGAGTTAGTGGGGATGCTGTCTGCTCTGTGATACGGAGTCCTGATGACTCCTAACTTGTGCTCCAAAGGGTGATGGGAGTCCAACTGCAAATACTGGTCTGTGTGGGTGGGTTTGCGGTACACCTCGGTTTGCAAATGTCCTCTATCAGAGACCGAGACCTCACAGTCCAAGAAAGCCAACTTGCCATTTTTTACATCTTCTCGTGTGAACTTGATGTATTTATCCACAGAGTTGATGTGG